GCGAGTAGGGGAAGAGCCGAGAGAGAGAGACATAGAATCCAAAGCAGGCTCCAGGCTCTGAGCTATCAGCACAGAGCCCGATGCAGGGCTTGAATCCACGAACTGTGAGATCATGGTCTGAGCTAAAGTCAGATGCTCAACCAACTGAGCCCACCAGGCGCCCCGTGAATACTTAATTTTTTAAAAAAGGTTTAGAAACACGAATATGATTAAATCAGTCTTTTTTTCCCGTTTTTTTTTTTTGTATTTTAAAATCTTTAAAAATTTTCTTTATTTTATTTTATTTTTTTAAATTTTTTTTTTCAACGTTTATTTTATTTTTGGGACAGAGAGAGACAGAGCATGAACGGGGGAGGGGCAGAGAGAGAGGGAGACACAGAATCGGAAACAGGCTCCAGGCTCTGAGCCATCAGCCCAGAGCCTGACGCGGGGCTCGAACTCACGGACCGCGAGATCGTGACCTGGCTGAAGTCGGACGCTCAACCGACTGCGCCACCCAGGCGCCCCAAAAATTTTCTTTATTTTAGAAAGAGTGAGCAAGTGTGGGAGAGGGGCAGAGGGGGAGAGAGAATATTAAGCAGTGGAGCCAGATGCAGGGCTTGATCCCACAACTTTTGGATCATGACCTGAGCCTAAATCAAAAGTTGGGTGGTCAACTGACTGAGCCAAGCAGGCATCCCTGATTTTTTTGTATTTTAAACAATAAGGTCTTATATCCTGTTGGACTTTAATGTTTCTGTAGTGTATGGGGGGGGGGGGGGGTTGGACTAATTTGCATATGCATTTATTTCATGCTTGTGATTTCTTGTTGTTAGAAAAACGCCAGCCTTATAGGTTAGTTTTTTCCCTCCTAAAGCACATTGAGCAGTCATAGAACATTTTACAAAGTGTACAGATCTCTTCCTTCACATTTTAATGATCAGATGATAAGATGATAAGTGTTAAAGTAACTGAGCTTAAATTGAATATTAAAAGCTGCATTTAATTTCTTCTTTATACTTTTAGTGATTAAATTTATATAGTTACTCGACTAAATTTTTTCCTGTACTTAATTTTTTGGGGTATCATTTATTTCCATATTTGCTTGAAATCTTAGCACAGTGTTCGAGCCAGAAGATTTTATATAAAGCTTGAGCTAAATTAAATTGTTGGCGTGAAATGGAACCTAGCAGCTTAGTAGTTTTAAAATCCTTGATAGTTTGGGAAGCATAAATGACTCAACTATACGAGGCAAGGTATTCCCCGGATTCAAGGTACCAGTCATAGTAAATGTGCCTTGATGACTAATTAAACACTTTTGGAACATAAGTATTAAGCTATTGCACCAAATTGGAAATTGAATATCCATGGAGTGCAGCGTATAGTTAAGTGGATTGTCTTGACCAATGAAAATGAAAATTTGTATGTCTATTTTTTAAAAAATGTGCTATGTGTATTTGAAATTCTGTACTGGTAAGGTTTTTGGAATGTTTATTTGAATCCACATGTGATTAGAGTATCTCAGAACGTGCTGAATTATATTTAAGGAACTGCATGCAACTCACTGATTTAGTTCACTTATTATTGGGAGTGAGAGCTTTTTGGTGGGTCTAGTTCAGAGAAAACAGCTGATTGATGTCCAGCTTCTGTAATGACAGTGGTTGAAACAGATTCTCTATCCTGATTGTCCAGGAGAGTCATTTGGGGGCTTTAAAAATACCAAAGTCTGAGACCATTTAAATAAGCGTCTCTGGGTTTAGGGCACTGACACTGGTACATCGTAAAAGCTCTACAGGTAATTCTAAAGTTTAGCTGGGATTGAAAACCACTGGCTTGAGAAGATGTGTTTGAGTACGTGTTACTTGGTATGGTTGTCCTCATGAGGCAAACTGCTCTCTTAAAGAAGGAACAGCTATTTTTCCTTGTTTTATTTCCAGCAAGGATTCCAGGTCATTTTTTAATTAAGGTTGGAATTTTAAAGAAGGTTTGAAAGCCTCATCATTAGTCCCTTGGTCCATTAGCGAGGAGATCAAAATGGCTAAACTCTTAGTATATATGAAATAATTGTAATCAGAGCTGACATTTGTTAACTGCTTACTCTGTGCCAGTCACTGGGTGGCTAAGGGCTTTTACGTACATTATCTTATTTAAGCTTCATAATAACTTAGTAGTGACTGCCATTTTACTGATGGAGAAATGGAGACAGGTTAAATAACTTGTATCGATTCACAACAGTTGGGTGGCTGTGCTGCGAGGAAAGAACGACTCACTCTCCCACTCTACTGTGCTGCCTTGACTTCACACAGTATTTCCTTAGAAGACATACAACTGCCATGGAACTTACTTTGATTTGCTATCTATTAGAGGAAAGTGGCCCCTTTATAAAGGACATTGTTTATTCTTGGATTTATTCTTCAAATGAATTGCAGAGGAATAAAAGCTTATTAACTTGTATAAAATGCCGAAGATATAAATGGTTGTTAAAAAGCTGTATTTTAATTTTAGATCCATCTCACATTTTTAAGGCAAGGCGTGGACATGCAACATGTTCGTTCTTTCCACCCCACAGGCTTATTTGACTTTGACTTTTAATAAACGAAGCTGGAGGTGGATAGGTATGAAGTGTTACTTTTCCGGTAAAAGTATACACTTGACCCTTGAACAACACAGGGTTTATGGCCGCTGACCGCCCCCCTCCCCCCAGTTCAAAATTCATGCATGGCTTGGCTCCCCCAAAACTTACAGCCTGCTGTTGACTGGGGCACCTTACTGATAACATAAAGTCAATTTACGCATATTTTCTATTGTGTATGTATTATGCCCTGTGTTCCTGTAGTAAAGTAAGCTAGAGAAAAGAATATGTTATTAAAATTATAAGAGAAAATACATTTACAGTACTATAAAAAGTCCATGTGAGAGGACCCGTGCAGTTCAAACCTATGTTGTTCAAGGCTCAACTATACTTTGTATTTTGAGGAATATTTTATTATGTTATATTTTACTTTATTTATTATCTATTTATTTATTTTGAGAGCAAGAGCGAGAGAGAAAGGGGGGGGGAGGGAGCGAGCGGCAGAGAGAGAGGGAGAGCGAGAGAGTCCCAAGCAGGCTTTGCACTGTCAGTGCGGAGATCGATGAGGGGGCTTGAACTCATGGAACCATGAGATCATGACCTGAGCTGAAACCAAGAGTTGGACGCTTACCTGACTGAGCCACCCAGGTGCCCTTGAGGAACATTTTAATTTTTTGGTGTTCTTACATATTCTAACCATAAAGCATTGTAATTGATGTGTTTATTTTTAAATCGGATATTAGGCATTGAAGTGGATGTTTCAAAGTTGTTATTTTGGAAAGCTATATATTTGTTTTGGTGACTATATGGTTTCTAAATATTTTAATAAAACATCCTATGTATAGTTTTTCCTATCAGTTATTTTGCATTTGACATTTATCCGTGGTACCATTTCTGTTTACTTATCCCTATCCTATTTATTCCACATTTGGTATCTTAGAAAAAAAAGAGTATTTACATTGTCACATGGTCTTCCTTGTTTATAGTTACATTGTTATGAATTATGGGTTATCATTTGGGTGTATGTTATCTTGAAACTACTTAGTTTTGGAGTCACTTGATGAAATCAGTTTGAGGGGGAGTGGAAGAGAGTGGAGAGAGGTGAAGTAAGGGGAGGGAGGGAGAGAGGAAGGGAACGGACAGACATAGATAATAAATTAACACAGATTGAATATAAGAAGCTAACAGATTTAATAGTTACTCTTAAGGCTTTGACCTCACAGTTGTAAGTGTCGTATGTGCATTTGCAGATCACTTTAAAATATGATGTGGTTATACTGTGGGACGTAGACTAGATACCTGGCGTAGGTGCCATGTGGATGGGATTCTGCATTACATACCTTTTCAAACCCTTCTCATCCATCTCTCCTTGGACTCTCTCGTTCTCTCTCAACTGGGGCCTTCTCTGTCCTGCTTCAGCTCTAGAATTTTGTTGATATCTTGCTCCTGTTCATTGTCCTTCTCCTGTTCTTTTGTGAGTTTATATATTTTGAACTCTTTTCCCCTAATTTTAGAGTGAGCCGAGGAGGCAGCCCATCTGTGCCCAGTATACATATTTAATAGGAAAACTGCCATCTCTCAATTTTATGGTATCTTTTCACTGTACCAAAACTAAGTATTTTTTTCTTTGCCAAATGTGGCATTGTTTTTCCTTTATGGGTTTTATGCCAAATTTAGAATTATAACATTATAAAAATAACCAGTAGTTTTATAGTTTGAGGGGGTTACATTTTGATTACAACTGTGGTGCAGTAATTGGTTGTTACTCAGTTATTAAAAATGTACTGGATGTATAATATAGAAGTGCATTTTCTCCACTTTTACTGAGAAATAATTGGCATCCATCCTTGTATAAACTTAGGACATTCAGCATGATGGTTTGACTTACATATATTGTGAAATGATTATCACAGTCTCGTCTCAGTTAAAAATCTGTCATCTCACATAGATAAAATGTAAAGAAAAGGAAGAAGAAAACAGAGAAAGAAAAACATTTTCTCTTGTGATCTTCAGATTTACTCTTGTAACAACTTCCCGGTACGTCATACAGGAGTCTTAGCTGTAGTCGTCATATGGTATAGCAGTGCGTTTTGGGGATGAAGCTGGTGAAGACGGGTCTCTGCCAGTCCCCAAATCCATGCAGATTAATGATAGCAGAAGTTATTTTCAGAAGCGCAGGTTAGTTTTTCTTACACTGTGAAATTCAAGCCTGCTTTGAAATTGAATTATGGGTGAGATTATTACAAATCGATTATTTGGGACTACACTGTACAACCCTTCCAGTGCAAGACAAATCCTTCTTAGGCCACATTTTGTGTTATGGCAGCTCCAGTATGAGGAATTCTAATGCGTCTTGGCTTTGAGGAGGTACATGAACCAACAGGGCCTTTTCTGTTATTTAGCCTGCTTTTCTCATGTCTGCTGATGTGATCTTCCCCTGCTCCCCCAGATAAACAGGGGTCACATGACAACGGAAGCCAAGAGAGCTGCAAAGATGGAAAAGAAGATGAAAATTTTGCTTGGGGGCTACCAGTCTCGTGCTATGGGGCTTATGAAACAGTTGAATGACTTATGGGACCAAATCGAGCAGGCTTACTTGGAGTTACGCACTTTTGAAGAACTCAAGAAACACGAAGATTCTGCTATTCCCCGGAGGCTAGAGGTAACATCATTGCCTTGCAGCATTGCTTAAAAAGAGAACTGCAAAAAATTACCAGGGCTTTCCTGTTTTTTTCTTTCTCCTGTGCAGATTTATCTCTGAAGTTGATACTGTCTGGCTTTTTTCAGTGAGAGCCTGAAGTTTTTGACTTTCTTATCTAGAATTGTCTGTGTATAGGTGGATAGACCAGGCCAGTGGTGGATACAATGGCTTTTCCTTTACTGATTTTCTGGTTTGCATATAGATACACGGTGAAATAGAATAAGTAACCCTTGTGATTTGTCCCCCTGAAACCTAATTGCATGCCATTCTTACAGCTCTCTGAGGTACATTAAACCGTTGTCTGTTTTGTAATTTAGAATGCTGGGAATATAGCTGGTCATTGTACAGCATGAAATTCCTCTGGCCAGATCTGGTTTAACTTTTATTTCCAAAGTGTGCATGATAGTCCCTACCCAGATAAAGGGCCGTGAGGGCTCATCGAGGTGCATTTGTGGGTACTGATAGGGCAGCAGTGGCTTGTGTATTTGAGCTAGCAGAGATTCTCCCAACAAGATGGTAGCCGTATGACCAAAGAACGGTTGTAGTACTGGCTTTAGAGCATAAGTAGTTGTTCTTCCTTGTTTCTCTGGGGAATACTTCTCTCTTAAGAGTCATGACTTAACCCTTCTGTTCGTAAGATGATAAAGTGCCATAAGATATTTTTAATTTTCATTGCGTGCTTACATACGAAATAATGATTTAATATTTTTGTCTCTTCAAGTGTCTAAAAGAAGATGTTCAGCGACAACAGGAAAGAGAAAAAGAACTTCAGCATAGATATGCTGATCTGCTGCTGGAGAAAGAGACTTTAAAGTCCAAATTCTGAAGCATAGTTTATACTCTGTCACAGGATGAATTAATTGCTGTTTTTCATACTCTGGAAGGCTGAAACTGATGATTATCTTCATTGACAAATTTGCCCACGATCTGTGGTTTTTCAGTTGTTTACTTTAAATGATATTGATCTTACATAGTCTATGTATAAAGACTTTAACTCCACAAAATGTTTTAGGGTTTAAATTATTAAGATGATCATTCTTTTAGCAGTGTCATATTTGCAAAAATTTTTTTAGTTTTGGCCTTTAATTTTAAAAGCCTGGTTTTAAAGTGCTGCCTGTGAGTAAACTCTTGAATAAAAACAAAATAAAAAAATTGTGAGTGTAGCCTTTTGTTTGAAGTAATTAGATACTTAGAGTGCCCACAAACCAGCAAGCATGTACTCTGTGTCATATTCAATGAGTAACTCTTGGGTAATCAGAATGGTGATCCGGTATCTTAATTCCTTCAGAGGCAGTCCTTTTGTGGCCTCGCTAGTTTTAGCACAGGGCACTCATTTCTCTATACACTGACAAGATGGATTAACATTTTAATACCTCAGGGTTTGTTTTTTTGTTTTTTGGATTTTTTTCAAGTATAATTTTAAGAAGTTCTCTTCTTTGCCCAGCTACTCACACAGTTTATGGATTAGGACTCAAAAGATTTCATTTTTATTGACCTGTTAGGTTCTTTTAAATGTCTTTTCTGCAAAGGTGTGTTGAAGATTAATTTCAGTAAGGCTATCACACTTTATTAAAGCTTTGTGTTTATCCTAAGTTAATTACACAAGTGTAGAATTTTGGGAATTGGTAGAAGTGGGAAGACCAGACTTTATAATTCACATGAAATCGTTTGGGATAGTTATTAGTTGGCTACAAGTTCATTATAGACCAACAGTATGTTGGACATACCAGGAATATTTCCCCATCTTAATCCTAGGGATTAAAAGGAGGGAAGGAGGGATTTATTCAGTTATCAGGTAATTTATTAACCGCCCAGTGTCAGAGTCATGGAGATAGAACAATGAGTAAAGTAGGTATGACTCCTAGTTTGTGGAGCTTACAGTCCATTGGGAATGATGATAGGCGACTAAAATTCAGATGTTTTTTGAGTGACTCTTCTTAAGTGCCAGACACTTACTTAAGTGCTGGAGATAAAGAGTTAAGACAAACTTCTTGCTCTCATGAAGGTGACATTAGTGGGAGGAGATACTCAACATACAGGGAAAAGTATCAGATCATGAGCTTTGATTCTATGGAGGGAATTAAAATCGGGTGATGGGAGACAGTGACTGGATGGCGACTTTAGTTTGGATGATCAGAAGAGGTCTTTGAAGGGGTAACATTTAAGATAGGATGTGGGGGGGAGCAATGCCGGCAAAGCGCCTTTGGGGTATTTGAGGAAGAGGAAGGAAGATAAGGTGGCTAGGGTGTCAAGAATGGCATTTGAGTAAGGCCTGGGCGTATAGGGGCATATGTAGAAGGCTTTGGTAAGAAATTGGTTTTTATTCTATTATGGGAAGCTGTGAGAAGATTCTGAGCAAAGGAATGGCATCAGATTTGGTTTAGAAACATCCTGTGGTCATAGTGCATAACGTCTCACCAGGCTGACGGGGGGTGGGGAAGCCACTTAGTTGAGCATGAAGGTAATGGCAGACGAACAATAATACTGACTCCAACCAGGATAGAGGCAGTCCTGGTGGGGCAGGTGCAGGGACTTGAGCAGTAATCAGTATGCGGTCTCCTCAGACTATATGTTTTTCTAGTTACCTAGTCACTTTAATTCTAGAACTTTTTTCAATAATTTCACATGGGTTTTCTAGGAAACACTCCATCATCTGTGAATAGCAGTAATGTTTCTTCTAGTAGTTTCATTTTTGTTGCATATTTTGTTGGCACAAATGTTTAGAACAGTTTTAAATGATGATGATGGCAGGCATTCTTGTTTTTGATTTTCATGGGAATGTCCGTAATATTTTTGTTTGAGGTTGGCTGTTTTGAGTTCTTCTTTATCTAGAAAGGAAATACCCATCTATTTTTAGTTTTTAAAGACTCTGAATTAGGATTGGCTCTGGAATTTTGTCACATACACTTTTTGGGTATCTTGTAAGATAGTCATGTGGGTTTTTTCCATTTAGTTTGTTGATGACATCATCAGTCGATTTTTCCAACATTAAACCAATCTTTGAACTCCTGGAATCAGGTAGATAATTGAAAAAAATTTTTTTTTTTAAGATTTACATTTTACTTGCGTCTTGTGTAGACTTGAATTATATGGATTTAAAATAGTTGCTCTCATATTAAAGGCTCCCTTTGTTTTCAAAATCTGAAGTAGTACACACATACTTCCAGCCTAAAGAATGACCACGGTTTGTGTAATTTCATAACTGGCAGTCTGCATCGTGGATGGCTCATGCTTTTGCTTTGTAGCAGTGAAGCTTTAACTGGTAAAGAGTTCTGCCATCCTCCTCTGTGAGCATCCTGTAAAGCCCAGGGTTCTTCACCAGTACCACTCTGAGAGTGATTTTGGTGACTGTTTTCACATTCACATTTATCGTATTCTCTTACAGGCATTCATTGAATGGTTGTGGTAACATTAGTGTATCACGTTCAAGTGGCAGTAACTTTGGGACAGACATTGAATGTGGTAAAGAGCCCTCAAACCCGCCAGCATGAGTGGGATCTCCTCTCTGAAATATTAGAAATGATGCCGCGTTTCTGCTACCATCAATTGTAGACTTCTGCTGTCCAACCGTTTTATTCTCCTGATTTTTACATTTATTTTTCTGGGAAAATCCGTTGTGAAATTTGTGATGTCATGCAGTGCATTTCTCCTCAAATGTGGCCGCCCTATTGGTCTTATAAAATTTGATTTGCTAATATGTTATTTAGGAAAATGGCACTTTTACGTGAGTGAATTTAGTCTTTTGGGCTCATGTCCAATTTTTGGCGTAGAGATTTTGCTAGCTGTATGAGGTGAATAGGATAAATATGGGTATTTGCATCAAGCACGTATATCGTTGGGGTGACTTGTTCCACTAAACATGGAAGGATTGCGCTTCTAAAACTTTTGAATTGAGAGCCCTGTTTGGAAGTCATTTCTTGATAACTCAGGTTTCTTCTGTGACTGTTACCTATTTTTAAACTTAAGTATTTTCATATCTGATTTTAAAATTTTGTTTCAAATGTATTTCTCCTTCTGTGTTTGTTATTTTTTAAATTTAAGTGATTTATGTTTTTCCAGAAAACTGAATTTTGTTGAAATTTAACACATTTATTAGCAGAGAATTTGAATAGGGAAGAAATTTTCTATATTAAGTTTGTTACTTTTAAGTTATAAGAAATGACCTTTTCTTAGTTTGACCATTCCTTTTTTTCCTTGATTAGACTTGATAAAGGTAATCTTTTTTCCCTTAAAAAAAACCCTGCTGTTTGGATTTATCACGTGTGATTTATTTTAAAATATTTTAATTTCTCATGTGTATTTCTTTTGTTTTCTGTAGAATTTTTCCCTGTAACTTTTGGAGTCTGATGTTTATTTTTTGTTTTTATATGTATACAAATGAAGGGTTTTAGTTATCTTTAATTTCAAATATGTTCCTATCCCAGCTACATTGATGTGTTTTTTTTTTCTAAGTAGTTTATCATTGTGTTTAAACTTTTGGTTAAATAATTAAGAATATTTAAAAATTTCTGTGTGGTTGGCTTTTTTTTGTTTGTTTTAAATAATTGTTACTTGTAGCAAGGAAAAATGGCTTATGTAGTTTCTGCTTTTTAGAATTGATTGAGGTTTTGGGGCCCAGCATTTTAAAAAAGCATGCTATGGATAAATGAAGGTTTATTCAGTGTATGTGGGACAGCTGAACACGTACTGAACCACTTTAATTATATGATTGAAATTTTATCTTCTTACTTTTGGGTGTAAACTACCATAGACTAGTAGTGTTGTCTTAAAGGCTTCTAGATCGTTCTTTCTCCCAGTTTTATCTTGTTTGGAGCTTTTTCTTTGTATATTTTGATACGGTTGTTTAGTATGTAAATACTTGTGTCTATTGGGGATCATTCATAAGACAAGCAATCTATAAAGTTATTCTTTTTGTCCTTTATGTGTTATCTCTGAGATTGGAATATTCTTTTTTTTTGTTTGTTTATACTTGCTTGATAAGTTGTCTATTTTTTTTTTAACTTTTATATAATTTTTTGTTTTCTCTAAAGAGCATGTCTTGTTGGATTTTATACTTCAACCCATTTGGAGAGGTTTTGCAATTTAATAGGGGAGACTAATCCATTTGCTTTTATGTTAATTACTGACTTTGGTCTTTGTGATCATGTTTTATGCTTTCTCACTGATTCCTCTCATTTCCTAAATGGGCTGTAATGCCCTGGGCTTTAATTTTCTTAGTGATTTAGGAAATATGCATTCTCTTTTAAGTTTTACAGATGATGATGGTATCATTTAGGGTTCAGGATCCATTCAGGACAAAGAAACCATACCAGTAATTTGAACAGGGAAATTTAATACGAAGAATTATTTGCTAGTAACGGGAGATCGATCACTAAGAGGGACAAAGGCAACCTTAAAGAATGTAGGACTAGCAGATGTAGAGAGGAACTACTACTTGTAGACAGAGAGTACCTAAGTAGGGAACATTCTTTTTTATGGCTGAATAATATTCTTGTGTGTGTGTGTGTGTGTGTGTGTGTGTGTGTGTGTGTGATGTTTTTGTTACCTATTCACCCACTGATGGATACCTGTGTTGTTTCCACATCTCGGCTATTGTAAAGGATTCAATGAACACGGGGGTGCAGATATCTTTTGGAGTTAGTGTTTTCATTTTCTTTGGATAAATACCCAGAAGTGGAACAGCTGAATCATAGGGTAGTTCTGTTTTTAATTTTTTTGAGGAAGTTCCATACTGTTTTTTATACTTGCTGCACCAGTTTGCATTCCTGAGTACAGTACACGAGGGCTCCCTTTTCTCTATATCCTTGCCAACTCTTATTATTTCTTGTCATTTTGATACTAGTAATTCTGACACTAGTCATTCTGACAGGTGTGAGGTAATGTCTCATTGTAGTTTTGACTTGCATTTCTCTGATGGTTAATGATGATGAGCATCTTTTCATGTACTCATCGGCCATCTGTATGTCTTTGGAAAAATGTCTGCCCATGTTTTAATCGATTGTTTGTTTTTTTGGCTATTGAGTTGTATGAGTTCTTTATATATTTTGGATATTAGACCCTCACCAGATACATGATTTGCAAATATTTTCTCCCACCCAATAGCTTGCCTTTTAATTTTGTTGATGGTTTCCTTTGCTGTGCAGAAGGCTTTAAGTCTGATGTAGCCCCACTTGTTTATTTTTCCTTTTGTTGCTTTTGGCAGGTTCAGAAAATCATTGCCAAGGCAGGGAGTTTACTGCCTATGTTTCTTGTAGAGGGTGTATGGTTTCAGGGCTTACATTTAAGTCTTTAATCCATTTTGAGTTAATTTTTGTGTAATGGTATAAGACAGGGGTCCACTTTCATTCTCTTGCATGTGGCTGTCCCATTGCCCAGCACCATTTATTTTATTTTATTAAAAAAAATTTTTTTTTCAATGTTTATTTATTTTTGGGACAGAGAGAGACAGAGCATGAACAGGGGAGGGGCAGAGAGAGAGGGAGACACAGAATCGGAAACAGGCTCCAGGCTCTGAGCCATCAGCCCAGAGCCTGACGCGGGGCTCGAACTCACGGACCGCGAGATCGTGACCTGGCTGAAGTCGGACGCTTAACCGACTGCGCCACCCAGGCGCCCCTTAGCACCATTTATTGAAGAGACTGTTCTTTCCCCAGTGTATGTTTTTGGCTCCTTTGTTGTAAATTAATTTTCCATATATGCATGGGTTTATTTCTAGGCTCTATAATCTGTTCCATTGATCTGTGTGTCTGTTTTTATGCCAACACCATACTGTGTTACTTACTGTAGCTTTGTAATATAGTTAGAAATCAGGGAGTGTGATGTTTTCAGTAAATATCAACAGATGTGACTCACAAAAAAGATGTTTGGGGTCCTCAATTTTTTTTAAAGTATAAAGGGATCCTGAGACCACTCCCCCCCCCCCCCCCAGTTGAGAACTGCTAATTTAGATTAAGCTGGCTAGAAATAAGGAACATCTACTCAGAGAATCCACAGCTTTCTCTGCTCTTTGATCAGAAGTGCAGATGGGGCGGGGCGCCTGGGTGGCTTAGTCGG